CAATGAGAATGTGGAGATGTGGCAAGCCAGCCATGGGCTGTATGTGTGTGTGCACTATGAGCACTGAGCACAAAAAGTGGACTGAACTCACACTGTCCCCTGGGCAGGTGACTCTGTGTGTCTTTTCCCTCACTCTGCCTATGATTCCCACTCAGCACATGAGATGGGCGAGGCCTTCCTAGATGTCAGTCAATCTGCTGACAGCAAGACTTCACAAAGCTAGACTCAACCCCCTGAAGCCTGACCCCTTGTTTCATTTGAATGGCTTCTTCCCAATAAAAGGGTTCAGCATGTGCCCCTCACTCTCTTTTCTTCTCTGCCTTGGACCCCTTGTGGGAACTGCAGCTAAGGAGCAGTCACTAAACCTAAAGAAAAGGTACCTTCTGTCTCGGTGTCTTTATTTATTCCCCAAATTAACTTGGAATGACCCTGACTAGTTTAGCTGTGTGACACAATAAGACGTGACAGATATATACAGAACATTCCATCCAACTACATCAGAACACACATTCTTCTTTCGTATACACCTGCTACTGATGGAACATTTTCCATAATAGACTATTTGGTAAGCCATAAAACAAGTGTCAATAAAAATGAGAAGACTGAAATCATAAACTGTATCTGCTCTGATTACAGTGGAATGAAACTATAAATCAGTAACTAAAAGAAAGCTAGAATACAAAATATGTGGCAGTTTAATAATATTTCCTTAAATACTGTCAAAATGGCCATACTACTAAAAGTGTTATACAGAGGTAATGCAATGCCCACCAATGATTTTCCTCATAAAACTAGAGAAATACCAATGATTTTCCTCACAAAACTAGAGAAAAGGACCTATAATTAAGCTCGAAGAAATAGGAGACCCAGAGTAGCTAAAGCAATCCTGGGCAGGAGAGTGATGCTGAAGGGAACACAATGCCAGATCTCACATTACACTACACAGCTAGAGTGCCAAAACCAGCCTGCAATTGGCACCAAAACAGATATGAATACCAATGGATTAGAAGACATACAGACAAAACCATGTAGATATAGTCATCTGACACTCAACAAAGGTGCCAAAAACATACACTGGAGAGAAGATAGACTTTTGAACAAATGGTACTGGAAAACTGGATATCCATATATAGGAGAAGGAAACTAGGTCCCTGTCTTTCACGCTGCACAAAAATCAAATCAAAGTGGATCAAAGACCAAGGAATTAAACCAGAAACTTTGCAAATGCTAGAAGAAAACAGAATTGAAACTTGAAAATATTTGTTATAGTTACCAAATTCCTTAATGAGACTTCTGAAGCATAAAAAATAAAACCAAGAACCAATTTCAGGAATGGCATTATATCACCGCAAAGGAAATAAATAAGAATATGAAGTAAGAGCCTACAGAATGAGATATTTTTGCCAGCTATTCCTCCAACAGGGTATTAATATCCAGAATATACAGATAACTCAAAAAGCTTAACACCAAAAAACCCCACAAATAATATAATTAACAAATGAACAAAAGAACTAAACCAATATTTCTCAAAACTGGCAACAAATATATGAAAAAAAAATGTTCACCATCCCTATCAATCAGAGAAACACAAATCAGAATTACACTGACACTTACTTCAGTCAGAATGGCAATTATCAAGAATAAAAATAATAATAAATTCTGGTAAAAATATGGAGAAAATGATACATTCATATATTGTTGATGGGACTGCAAGTTAGCACAGTAACTCTGAAAAGTACTATGAAAAGCCCTCAAAAACTCAGGAATGGTTGATGTCATATGTACCTAATTTAAATAAATTAATTAATAATTAAAAACAACACTAAACTAGAAAATCAAACCATAACAGATTTATTTGAAAAATTTAGCTGCCTTCAAAATACCACTGTTGTAGGAAGCACAGGAAGCCAGATTTCTAAGGCAAACATCCCTCCTTCCTTTCTTGGCTAATGCTCTGCCAGAATTGAACAAGTAACAGCAAAGACCACAGCAATGGAGAAAGTGGAACCTGTTTACTGCCTAGGCATAAGACAAGAACAAGTTAATTTTGTCTTTAAAAATGAAATAGGCCTGAAATGTAACTCAGAGGTACAGCACTTGCCTAGCATGCATAAGACCCTGGGTTTGATCTCCAGTACTGCAAACAAACAGAAAATGAAATCATGTGCATTTAAAAGAAATATTTGCACTGTGAGCCATTGTTAAGATCTCCCACCAATCTAAATAAACTATTATTATTATAAACTTAAAAAAATAAATAAGACAAAATCCATGAAGTTGTGATCTTCTTTGTTTCATATCTTCTTATTCATATAATCAAATATACTTAAATTGGTAGAATAACAAATTTATACTTTAATAAATAAATAAATTCATTAATAAATTTTTTTTAAAAACTCAGGAATGGAAACACCATATGACCCAGTTATCCTACTCCTTGGTATTTCTCCAAAAGAACTAAAGTGAGCATATAATAGTGATGCAGCCACATGAGTGGTTATAGAAGAACAATTCATCATAGCCAAATATGGAACCATCCAGGGTGTCCATCAACAGATGAATAGATAAAGACAATGTGGTACATATATACTATGTATATTTACTCAATCATAAAGAAGAATGAAATTATGGTATTTTCTAGTAAATGGATGAAACTGGAGAACATCCTGCTAAGGAAAATAAGCCAGACTCAGTTAGTAAAGGGTGAAATGTTTTCTCTTGTTGACAGAAGCTACACTAAATAAGTTAAAGAGTGGGGAAACCCCAAGAAAAATAGAAGGAAGTGCAGTGAAGCAGAGGAAGAAGATTTTAGGGAAGACAGGAGAGAGGAAAAAAGGAATTGTAGAAAAAATAATTGTCCAAATTATGCTACATACATACATGAATATACCACAGTGAATTTCACCTTTTGTATAATAACAAAGCAATAATTTAAAAACACAATAAATAAATAGAATAAAGATCCATACAGTAGAGAAAAAGGCAAAGGGGGAGAGATAAGGGGAGGAAAAGGAGAAGTACTAGGGTGGCAAATTATATTCCACGCTTCTATATTTAAATCAAAATGAATCCCAATATTATGTGAAACTATAATGCATTAGTCAAAAAAGAAATATTTTTTAAAGTGCAAATTACATTGAAATTGAGACAATCCTTTGGAATGATTATAAATTAAAATGCGACAGTCAAATTTTAGGAGATGAAGTGAAATCAATGCTCAGCAGGGATTTTGGAGCTATGAATTTCTAAATCATAAAAAAGGGAAAGATCTCAATCAATAACATATTTTCATACCTTAAGGAAATAGAAACAGAAATTGAACTCAAAGACTGCAGAAAGAAGAAAATAATAAAGATTAATGTGGAGATAAATGAGATAGAGAATAGAGAGACAGTGGAGCAAACTGACACAGTCAAAATTTAGCTTTATGTAAAAACAACTGGATATCCACATGCCAAAGAATAAAGTCAGAGCCCCACCTCACATGACATACGAAAATTAATCCAAATGGATCAAAGACATCAATGTAAGAGATAAAAACATAAAACCCTTTCAAGAAAATGGGTAAATCTTTATAACCTTAGATACAACACTGGATTCTTACATGGCACCAAAAGCCAACGGGGATGGGGGATAGAAAGAGGACTTATCAAAATTAAAAACCTTGTGTGTCAAACACATGATCAAGAAAATGAAAAGTCAATCCAAAGGATGGAAGAACATATTTGCCTGATATATATATATATATATACCAATATTGATTTAATGCATAGAATATCAAATGAACTCTTACAACTCATAACTATATATATATATATATATATATATATATATATATATATATATATATATATATATATATAACTATAAAAACAGGCATATGATTGCAGAGATATTTCTCCTAAGAAAATGTACAAATAGCCAAAAGCACATTAAATGAGGTATAATGTCATTAGTCATTTGGAAAATGCAAATTAATACCACACTGAATATTTTACATCCACTAGGATAGGTACAACAACAGCGGACTAACAAATGCTGGAGAGGGCATGCAGAAAGTGAAACATTATTGGTGGGAAGGTGCAATGGCACAGCTATCATAAAAAGCAGTTTTGCAGTTTCTTAGAAAAGATTAATAGTGAGTTATTATATGGCCTAGGAATTCTAATGAGAGGTGTACCCCGAAAATTGAAAATAAAGGTTAAAAATATGTATACACAAGTGTTCGTAGTGGTACCATTCATAATAGCCCAAAGGATGAAGATAACCCAAATGTCCACTAATTAATGCATTAATAAGATGTGGTACATTCATGCAATGGAACATAATAAACCATGAAAGGATGTTCTGATACAGCCACAGTGTGGATGAACCTTGAAAACATTATGCTAAGTGAAAGGAACCATACAGAAAAAGTGAGACATTGTGTCATTCCCTTATAAGAATATTCAAAATACATAAATTTAAAAAAAATACTTAAATTCATAGATTTGAAGGCAGGTTGGTGGCTGCCAAGATCTACAGGAAGTAGAAATGGGAAGAAATTGCTTAATGGGCTTGGAGTTGTCTTTGGGGATAATGAAATTAGCTTGAAACTTGAAAGAAGTGCTTGTTCTATAACATTGTGAATGTACTAAATGCTAATGGACTATATAATTTAAAATGGTTAAGTTGATATTATGTGAAATTCACCTTAATAAAAAAGAAATCATGTACATTTCCAATTAAATAAAGTGTATTAAAATAAAAAAAAAGTACAACTGAGAAACTGACCAGTTTCTAAATTATTGTATTAAATTGTACTATTATTCATGCTCGAGAGTCCACTTTTGTCCATCTTATATGTACAGGGTACATACTACATAATGATGAGTTACTATGCATCTCTTCCCAACTTTCGGTTGGAATAGGTAACTTTCAATTGGCCACTCAGGATGTATTTATATAATAGAAATTGGAAAATACTTTAACCAGGAATTATGGGCTGGTAGAGTACTTACCTAGCATGCCCTGGGTTTGATCCCCACAAATGACAAAATTCCAAACCAGGAGTTTTCCTCTTCTGAGAGTTGTTAAACATCTGCTACACACCATGGATTGTAATTTTCATGGTCTTGTCTGCTTCCCTTAGACCATTGATTGTGATCTCAGAGATCATAGATTATTCAGCTTTCAGTTTGGAGGACAGAAAACAGTTTCTGGCCAAGATTGGGCCTGTTCAAGAATCATAGAATGTGCTCTGTAAACTTTTCTGTCTCTTCATTCCCCGTTTTCTTTTTTTCCTTTTGTCTTTTATTCAATGTTATTATTTGGAAATTTATCTGTACTATTGTTTACATCAGTAGTTTAGTAAGCTACTCATTCCCTGTTTTCTAGTTGAAGTTCCTTTGAAAGAATTCTATTTGTATTCTGAATAAATTAAGAGAATTTGTCTACACATTTTTTTTTCTAGGAGAAGAACAATGACCAATGATTCAAGAAGCCATCCCCAGCTTGGACTAAAAGACATTTAGAACTGTGGATCAGAGAGGGAATGATAGCTGTGATGACTCCTCTCTTGCAGAACCTCTCTGAGGTTCTCTCAGATTTTTCCTGAAGTTAATAATCAGCTATGGAGGAATAATTTCTTTCTAGGCCCCTTCTAAAAACCAACTTTCTTCCTGCGCTACATAGGAAATATAGAAAATATTTCATGAACACTTACTCTATTATCATTATAAAATAATTCTGCTCAAACTTTTACTTCATTTTTACTAGTAAATTATAAGCATTAATAAGGCCTGATTTTTATGCTGTATAATAAAATCACAGTGTTGTATTAAAAATGTATGTCTTAAAGAAAAATCTCTAGATATAGATTCTTAGAAAAATGGAGATTTCCTCTTTCCTTATATTTACAGAGAAATTTGTCTGACTAGAAATATGTCAGGAATAGCAACAATGAATATTATTCTTATTCCTATGATCCAATCTGTGAATATTTGTAAGTATTAACTTTCTGGTCTGTTAATATAAACTGTAAAGCAGGAAATCTGGCAATATTGAAAAGAGAAGGCAAAAATATTCTTTATCATTTGTCTCAAAACCATGACTTCTCTAGTTGGATTGGCATCAGGATCAAGAACTGAGATTTTTGTAACAGGTATGATATGACAATATTTTGCTAAAACCTCAAAAATATCAAAATATCAGAGTAATCTGGTACACAACGAACTCTTTCAAGAGTCTAAGAGTTTGGCACAGAGCTATCAATCAAACCAGATGTCCCAGAGGAAGTTTTAGGATACCATCCTTCACTGTGGTGAGCCGCTTCTGCCGTTTCTGCAGACTATGGTCGCCATTACAAGATGGCGCTGGCTCCGCTGTGGTCTGTGACAAACAACTCCTTATTTGGGAGAGTTGGCGCATGGTTTTTCACCACCCTATGAGAAAGCTCCACGTGGCAGCTTCGCATTGGGGCTTGAGATGCTTTATTAAGGCTGGGAGGGGCATCTGAGGGGAGAAGAAGAAATATCAAGGGCCTGAATAAACTGCTGAAAGAAGATTCCTGAGTTGCGTCTTCCTTGCGGGCAAGGGGTCGCGACAAGTGGTGCCGAAACCCGGGAACCAGAACTTTCAGCAGTCAGGGGTGGTGCACCGGTTAGTCCCAGGTAAGTGGGATCCGCGACCAAAGCGGGGTTAGTCCCAATAAGTGGGATCCACGATCAAAGCGGGGTTAGTCCCAGGTAAGTGGGATCTGCGACCAAAGCGGGGCAGCTCCTCTGTAAAGAAAGAGAGAGCATTACATTTTATTGCAGCTGCACTGTGTACTTTCGCTTCTACTTTCGCTTTTGTTTTCTGTGTTTCTTTTGTTGTGTCATTTCGCTTTTGTTTTTTGTGCTTCTTTTGTTGTTGTGTCATGGGTGCCGCATCTTCAAGTCCACTTTTCCTAGTCCTAGACCTGGCCTATACCCCATATTTTGCATAATTTGTTGAGACACTGGGGAATGCAGTGGTGGGCAGTGGCACGGGCTTGGCCAATGCCGATGCCGGTTCATGGTAATTCTAGTGTCCTCCCCACTCTTTTCTCTACCTCATGTGAGATGTCTGCTCCCTGTGCCTCTCCTAGAGGGGACATGGAGAGCATTTTTAATCAATCTCAAGTTAATCTCACAGGAGTTTTTTGTTTCAGCCTTGGAAACGCTAATTGCATCAGCCTTAAGACCAAAAATTTGACTAACTGGGAGGACCCATTGCGGTCCAGTCAGGTCTCAGGGAGCATTATTAGTGCCGTACTGAGCCAAGTAGTTTCGGGGAAGCAATCAGGCTCAGGGACCCCCGCAAATAGCTCTGCTTTAAACATAACTACCTTGGCTATTATCTCCAGGGTACTAATCCCAGTGCCTCCTTCTTCTAATAGTACTTACAATGCCACTCATTTCAAGGCCTCCCCTTACTGTACCCCTAATCTTGGTTTCCCCCCAACATTTATGCCTTGTCAGGATCATTCTTGGGAGAAACATCAAGTTGCTAAAGGTTTCTCCCTTTCCTCCTCTCTTAAGAGGCATGTTTATAACTTTAACAACAGTGCCAACTCCTCTACAGGAGTAGGTTGGTCCTGGTTTCAATGGCTGATTTCCAATGAGAAGGGGGCTTCAGCCGATATTTCTGCATTGGCTCAATTGCTGGGAGCCAAAAGCTGGCTGGCTAATGTTTCTGGCACTGTTAGGGAGAGTGAACGAGGTAATAGACTTACATCTGTTTCGTTCAATTCTCTGCTATATAGTGCCACATTGCCCCCTGCAGTGGTCTGTGTCCAGTCCCCGTTCTTGCTCCTTTTGGCTAATGACACCTCGTCGGGGATGCTGGATTGTTCTGATGTTGCCTGTCTCTTATCTGAGTGTTGGAATGGTTCTTGGACTGTAGCAGTGGTTATGAAAATTCCAACTTTTGTCCCAATCCCAGTCACTGCGGACCCAGATAAATTCCCCATTATTGAGCTACTTAGAGTCCGAAGGGATTTTGGAATTACGGCAGCTATAGTGACAGCTGTGGCAGTGTCTGCTGCTGCAGCGGTTACGGCCGGAGTGGCCATGGCCAGTCAAGTACAAACTGCTGCCGCCATTAATCAACTTGTTCAACAAACTTCCACCATACTTGAATCCCAAAATACAATTAATCAACATATTTTGTCAGGGATTTTAGCTGCCAACCAAAGAATAGATTTACTCCAAGCTCAGGTAGAAGAATTGGCTGACTTGGTGCTTTTGGGTTGTGTTGACCAACGTGCACATTTATGCATAACCTCTGTCAGATTTAATGATTCCAGGAATGCCTCCCGCATCATTGGCGAATATTTGGCCGGAAATTGGTCCATGGCAGCGGAAGACATGATCCAGTCTCAACTAACCCAGATAGCTGTCTTGAACAGTACTCGTGTCGATCCTGTGACTTTGGGTCAATTCACCGATTGGATATCTTCTGCTTTTTCCTTCTTCAAAGAGTGGGTGGGGGTAGGCATTTTTGGTGCAATGTGTTGCTTCGGTATGTTCCTCTGTTTGTGGTTTCTCTGTCGCCTTAAGGCCCGCAGTGCTCACGATAAGGCTATGATCATACAAGCTCTTGCAGCTTTAGAAAATGGCAACTCACCTCAAGTCTGGCTTGCGCATCTTAAACAGTAAACCTTTGACATGGTCGTTACACCCCAAGTTATTATAACATTGCACTGGGATCGACATGACTTTCCTTGTTATTCTCTTAGTGTTGGAAAGCCCTTGCACTCTGCCGGTCTTACTGCCATTGCACGCAGATGGGTTTCCACACTAGTGCTTTTCTATCGCCTTAAAGTCCGTGCCTTTCTTTCAGGGTGCTGTCAACTTGTTTGTCGTTATAAACAGCCACAGTTCAGCCTCAGCTATCCCCCTTCGTCCACCATCGTCACGATACAGGATGCGAGGCAAGGCACTGCACTTGAGTGATCCTTGACGTGGACCTCAAGGAGAGCATGTCCTATTGCATGCGGGTTAGACGCGTCCACGCCCCACCTCACGAAAAAAGGCGTCGGCTGATATGGGACCAGGTCTAGGGAAGGGCCCTCCTTAGGACTGAGCCATACTATGCAGCCACTTCTGCACAGTGGGATAGGACCTCTACTCTCGCCTGTATTGTTTTAAGAAAACAGAAAGGGGGAACTGTGGTGAGCCGCTTCTGCCATTTCTGCAGACTATGGTCGCCATTACAAGATGGCGCTGGCTCCGCTGTGGTCTGTGACAAACAACTCCTTATTTGGGAGAGTTGGCGCATGGTTTTTCACCACCCTATGAGAAAGCTCCACGTGGCAGCTTCGCATTGGGGCTTGAGATGCTTTATTAAGGCTGGGAGGGGCATCTGAGGGTAGAAGAAGAAATATCAAGGGCCTGAATAAACTGCTGAAAGAAGATTCCTGAGTTGCGTCTTCCTTGCGGGCAAGGGGTCGCGACACTTCACAAAAACTCCATCAAGGCCAATGTATAGGAGAATTTATGTTAAAACTGCCTATGGATGTGGCTTGTGTCTCATGGAGTGGGGCTCCAGTGAAATATATCAGAAGTACTTGAGAATATTAGTGTAAGGGGACAGATAGATGAGAATGGTGGGACACCAGTTAGGAGAATAATTGGATAAAATGGGCCCATGGTGCTGACCACACCCAGCACAAGCTTTCTTAGCCAAAAATCAAACTGCCTGCAGCCTCACCTGGCCTGAGTGGACAGGATATGACACATTCCTCAGCAAACTGAGGCAGGGGATGAAGATCAGGCAATCAGTGTAGATAATGAATGATGGGGGTCCAGAGAGAGTGAGGACTGGTTATTAAATAGAGGACAATGGATTGTTAGCCTCTATGATCAGGCTCCTGGGCAGTCTGCATTGCTAACAACTAACCCCCAATTTCCTGTTCCCAGGCACTTATACTGTAAGGGTTCTGTGTTTGGGATTGGGGTCTCTGATGACTTCATGGCTGTGGCATGCTTGGTGGCAAGGAAAGTTTCTGTACAAAAATACAGGATGCCTAGCAGCTGGGAAACTTTCTGTGCAGAGACACAGGATGGCTAGCTGCTGTAGCAATGCCCAGCATGAGGAGGCTTATCAGACTTGACCTTGATTTTAGGCATACAGCTCCTGAGAATAAAGAAAAATCTCTTGTTTCACACAATGTTTCACCAAGCTCCACTGCACCTGAACCTGTCCACATATCAGTAGCTTTAAACAGTGAATTTTCTTGTGAGCTACACAAAACTCCTAACATTGCACATTGCAACTATAGCATGTAACTCAGGAATAAACTGCATAATGTTGCTAACTCTGTAACCTGCCTAATGACACAATGAACAATAATGTACTACTGAGGCTAGTGACCTTATGTAGCCTATTGATATAAATAAAGCTGGCAGCTTGGGCAAGGGGCCATTCTGTCATTCTGCCTCTGCAACTTGCTTCTGTCTCCTTTTGATTTCTTTAGAGCTTTTAAATTCTTTACATTATATGGAGAAAAGAGAGAAGGCAATGATTTAAAGGGAGATTCTGAGGTCTATGAAAGAACAACATATGCCCAGCTCTGGGGCCACTTCTCTTAGAAGTCTGTCTCTATCCCTTTATTAAATAAAACTTGCTTTCTACACTTGCCTTGGCATTTCTTAGATGTTTAATCTTCAACACCAAGGAGCAAGGACATTTTTCTGATCTTCAAGACCCATATCATCAGTACAACCGACAGCCTGCCAGCTTGAATGACACAGTAGGTACAAAATAAAAGGAGGCTGTTATATTCCCTCACCCCCATCCCCAAATTCTATCTGTAGGAAGCAACCTGATAAAACTGCTCAACTCTGAACTTTTACTATGCTTCAAGAGAAAGGAAGGATGACTCAGAGGGCAGAACCAAGAATGCAGGAAGCAGAAGCAAAAGCATTATTACCCTTGAATTTGGAAACCTAATCAAGAACTCCAACTGCCTTTTCCCATCTGAATATTAGAACCTTCATGGTGTAATATTCTCTCTGTCCACCCTGTTTCTCAACTTCTTGTTCACCTACTTGTGTCCTTAAGGCCAAAAGCCTGTCTTCACGTTGCTCCAGAGAAAAGTGCACAGCCAAGAGCAGTTTCCTTCACACAGGGTGGGACCGCAGAGCATTCATAGCTGCAGGCAGTTCTGGTTTCTTAGTGTGAGAAGGGGTTTGAATTTAACCTCAGATCAGGGCACCTCCCCATTCTCCTTCCTGTTGTGTGAGGTTCTCTCATAGTCATTGTTTATTTCTTTTCTTCTGGAAAAGAACTTGAAACATATGGATGTTCAAGCAATGTGTGATGATTGTACAAGGAAACTAGTGTATCTGACTGTGGGAGTTCTGTGTTTGGGATTGGGGTCTCCAACAAACTTCATGATTATGACATGCTTGGTAACTAAGAAGTTTCTGTGCAAAGACATAGAATGCCTGGCTGCTAGGATGTACCTGGCTACTGGGAAACTCCTGTACAAAAGCATGGGATGCCCAACTGCCATAGCAATGTTCTTCACAAGTTTCCCTGTTTCCCAGCCTTGGAATGCCCAGCAGTTTTTTCCCTTCTTCTGGCTACTAGGATAACTATGCAAGTGCACTGTCTGGCCTCCTTAGCAAGTCCTTGGAGAGAAGGGGCTCTGTGTTTGTACTAACCTGGACCTTATCTCAGTTAGCTATCACTCAGGGTTAAAAGGATGTAGTCATGGTAACAGTGGTAGGTAACTTAATTTTTGAGTTAATAAACTCAGCAGGGGGGAGGGGCAGACACTTTTCACTTCACTTTTACACTTCTTCACTTCTTCTCGCCACTGTGCTCCACCTTTTCTGCCTGCTTGTATCAGGTCTGTGTCTGTTCTTTTGTTCATCTCTTGACAGGTTTTATTGACAGGTATTCTTTACATCTGACCTGGTTTTCACATGTGTCTTTGGGGATGACAAAGGCTATTCTAATGAATTGCTGTAAAGTACACAAGGGGCATAAGTCTTTGACTCAGTGTATTACCAGTAAGACTGATCTTTCTCTGAGTGGGAGCATAGGCATTATCTAATGAGCAAGAGTTTTAGGATTAGTCAAAGTCTGATCCTGGTGATACCGTAAGTTATCGAGTTCTGCTCCCTCACATTTTGAAATGTAACCTTAGAGGAGCACACCAAAGCAAGCATATAAAGCAGAGTTTATTTAAAAGGGGTAACATAGACTGCTTCCAGGGGGGAGAAGGGGGCCATAGCTGGTATCCTGGTATGCCATTTCTGGTATGTCCTAGGCTTCCTTTGTTTCCCTGCTCTCTTCCCTTATCTTTTTCTTTTCTGTGTACGTGATCAGGTCCAGGAGATGCTTGGTGGGATGGCCAAAAGGTGAGAAGCAGATGGGCTGGATGGGGCCAATTTAGCGTGATCTGGGCAAGAAGGGGGCATAATAACAACTCCTTGTAGGGAGGGACAATCCCTGGGACAGGTTACCTTAGCAACAAGTTAGAGCAGGGGCTGTTTATCTTAATCAGGGTGGAGAAAGGGACCTGAAGGAATTAATATTTCAATCCCTCCATTCTCTGGATCCCACCCTTGCCTATCTGTCTACTTCTGGCTTCACTAGGATTCAACAGCTACTAGTGAGGGAATTCAAAATATCTCACACCAAATATATTTCTGCTTAAGTTGGTGATTCAGAGAGACTACCAACCTCTTAGACAAAAGAAGACTCTGGAAAGCTTTTCTTTTGTAAAAAGAAATATGTATCTGCATACACTAGTAAAGTACACAGTGCATGCTATAGAAGCTTTCTACTTGATATCCTTTACCTACCTAAGAAAGGTATTTTCATAGGAAGAAGACATTGAGATATCTTGCCCAGAGAGAGATTACCCCAGGTGGCTGCTACCTAGGAAATTTCACTTGCATGAAAAGGTAACACTGGGCTCCTCCTTTCTTGTCCTTCTAATGTCTGTGCCACCCTCCCTCCCATAAATCCAGCACCTATACCTTTGTTTAGAAATTTCATGCATTTGTCCTCTTTTGGTCTCCTACTTTTGTATAAATTCCATGCTTAAGCACATTAATAATTCATAGGCATTTTTCCCCTCACGGTATGTTCATTGTGAGTTTGTTTTGGTGACTAAACTTATTAAAACCTTTGGAGGAAAAAGAGTAATTTAAATCTTCCTTACACTACCTCTTTGTAGGAGAAGGGCAACCTAAGTAATGAGAAGCAGCTAAATGGTGGATGAATTTGTTAGTGGCAGTACTATTACCAATGCTAATAACTGTTGTGAGGACAAAAGAAGATGACATAGGTGACTCTCACCTAAAGATTTGCATGAAGTATGTGTTCAAATGTGAATTCTTTTCTCCCCAGCATATAATCAACTTTGAGGATCAAATGTGTCACAAAAGGAGGTATTGGAGGGAATCTCTCCAGTTCTAATATTTTGTGAATTTAATTTGAACCTCTGAGACTTTCCCTGTGAGTGACTGCCAGCATCTTAGAGTTTGGGGGCTTAGGAAAAGTCTTTTCCAAAAGTTGGTTTATTTGGGCCTGCTGAACAATGTGATGTAAAGGGAGAAGCTCTCTCTGGAATTCTTTTTATCTGCATGAAAATCAGACTGCAAAGGGGAACAATTGCCTTTATCACCACCCTGAATTCCCATTGTCAATCTCAAAGAGGACTGAGATATGAAACTACATTTGCATGAATTTCCCCTACAAGATTCTATTCCTTGGGCTCAATCAAAATTCAAAGTGATCACCCTAGAGATCAACTTTTCCACTAATACCAATGTATAAAAATATAGAAAAAGGGATATGTATGTTTGTGCATAATGTTAAACACGTGGGTAATCCTACTCCTGTGATTGTCTCCCAAATTGTGGTTTTCCTAATTTGCATCATAGTAAATCCATATGCCTTTTCTTCTATTTGATCCTTATCTGTTTCTTTCCAGTTGTCCTTGAGAGGTCAGAGGAGCATTTTTCCCATTGCCCATACACAGTTCTTGGGGGATTGCCTTGTCCTTTTGTGCTGAGGCTTGTATTGGAGCCTGGGTTCTCTGTTGATGTGCTAGGAGACCACAGGTGGTATTCCATATCTGATCCCCTCTGAGATTTCTTCACAGTGAGAGCACAATGCCTGTACATGGTAGGATCTCAAAAAGTGTTGTTTCAGTTGATGAAGTTGGTAAAGTCCTCCATTCTGTAGTTTGGCTGTGTCCTATAATTCTGGCCCACTCCCAGTACTGAAAACAGACTTTCAGTTTCATTTACTTTTCTCATCTCAATTCTCAGAAATGACTGTTTAAAAAAAAAAAAGCACACAGTTATGTTTAAGCTGTTTTCTCTAGGTGTTCATGGGTCATTGTTTTTACTTGCTTCTTTTTTTCTTTTTTCTTTCTTGCCAGTTGCCTAACTAAAGTTCCACTTGAAAAATTCTCACATTTTATGATACATTGAAGGAAAGGAAATTAACTGAGACTTCTCCAGGGAACTTCAAAAGAGTCCTGTGTCCCAGGAACATCCAGGGTAGGACTAGGGTGATGTAAGAGACATTCTTGGGGGCAAGGGAAACTGAGAGCATTAGCTCAACTCTCTATCCCAGGGGTCTCATTTCCTTACCCTATTTCCAGGCCTCACCTGGCTCTGACTGAAAGCTTTGTGGATTGGCCAGTACATTCCTAATCCACTAGTTAAAGAGGGAAAGGCTTCTAAGATTGGTGGCACTTTCTTGCTTGGATTTTACCACTAGACTTTTCCTTAAAGCAGGCTCAAAGTTTGTTTAAGAGGTTATTTTATAAGGGACTCTCTTATGCACTTGAAATCTGTGAGCAATACTTGACAACAAAGAACAAAATGGAGACGAGGAAGAAAAATGAGTCAGCCCAAGGAAAGACAGGGAGGCATCAGTTTCTGTCTCCTGTGGGCTTCTCTTGCCACCACTCAGGGCAGTGCCAGCTGCAGAGGAAGTGCAGAGGAACAGAATATCCCTTGCTATGTATATTTGGAATATTTTCTATTGAAGAAATCTAAAAATATTCCCAACATGCTCACTTTAGAAAACATGGATTTCTCAGCAAATTTATCAAATGGTGTCTTCCCAGTAGATAAGGCTTCTTCACTTACACTGTGCAGTTCCCAGTGAAGGGTGAGTGTTTTAACATATTTGAGCTACCTCCAAGTTCCTGAAAAACAACTCCAACAACTGGTACCATTTCAACCTACATATCAGAGATGTCATCCAGAGTAAGGCTAGTGAGATTTTTTTTTTTTCTTTTCTGTGTGACCTTGAAAAATTGATAACCTTGTATCAACTGGTTAATGGAGAAAATCAACTGAAGCTAGAGGGTTTATTCAGGTTTATGCAGCTTTCTTTGCAGAGAGTTCAGGGAGAATGTCAAGATGGCTGAGCTTTAGAGTGGTCACCATGGAAGTCAGGGATAATGATGGGCCTAGAGGCAGCAGTTCCCTAAAGAATGCAACTCAATTTATTATATTTTTTAGGGGCCTGAAGCCAATGTCCTTAGTTTCTGACTCAGGTTGATAAGAGGAAAAGAGAGAGATGGGTAGAGGCCCAGTGCTTCAAGAAAGTAAACTCTGTCTTGAACAATGTCCCTGTTTTCTTTTAAATAAACTCTTTGGAATGGCTTTTATTTGTATGTGATTGGAAAAAGTTTTCTTTTCCTCATCTGAATCTTTTATTATGATCTTGATGGTATGGAGTAGCCTCCTCTTGTTTTTATGTCATAAATTGTTGCTGAAAAAAAAATTGTGAGTGGCCTCTTTATGCACTGGCATTGCAAGCAGCCACTTCTTTTTCCAGTGTGTTCCAGCTGACCTCTGAGTGGTTGAAGAGTGAGAAACAAAATCTGAAGAGAGGAATCAGTGTAAGTGGTGCTTGTCCTAGCAGCAATCATTCTTGGCAGCAGCCACTGGAATTCATTCAATCTTACACAATTCAACAAATTGATAGCTTCATCATGACTCCAGTTCGTCTATCCACTGAATCCCAGTGTCTTATCCAACTGTTACTAAAGAGAAATTACTGCTCCCTTGGTGTCTGGTGGCCTGTATCTCTTGAGATTCATCTTGACCACTCTGGCTTAGAACCTGGACTGCCAATAACCACTACTAAGAACTCATGCTTCTAAAATGGGACACCT